GGGCCCCCTCTTCCACTCCTAACCGAGTGGGTCTACAATTCTTTTGATGCTTGACTGCAGGCGTCTTCTTTTTCATCCGGCATAATTTTTATTAACCTGTCCGGACCCTAGTCAGATTCTTGGATCGGTGGTGTCCTCCGGATGCCCAAGAGAGGTCATCAGGCCTCTTCCAGAGAAAGGTCTCTGTGGTGCCTGAAGATGGGGCACCGGTCAGTCCGTTCCATCAGTGAAATATCGCTCTAAATCCTGCCCAGGGTCGCCAGAATTGTTGCAGAAAATTAGAGGCTTTAGGTTTCTCAGGATGCAGGAAAAGTTTATTTGGCAGCCATGTTCAGAAAGCTAGCCCATGGCTAGCATTTCAAGTTCTGAACAACCTTCATTATCGAAGCACACATTCTTATACATTCTCAAAGCAGCGAAACACAGAAACACTTAACTCATTTCCCAGTGGTTACCTTGAGGAGAAAGCCTTATAAGGAGATGGGGTCTTACGTCTCCTTTTGTTTCAGGTATGAAGTACGTGTCATTAATGAACTTTAATTGAACTTTGTGGTTTGGACTTTTGACATAGGTTTTGACATAGGGACATTGGCTAGAACATCTTGTGGTTAGGAACTGGCTTCCTGTTCTTTTGCAAGCTGCAACTCTGCCTAGGTGGCTTTAATATAGAAGTAAAGGGTCCCTGAGAGGCTGTCCAGCCTGACCCAGTAGGTTTCACACTTAATGTCCAAATCTCACTTGACGTCCTACTTTAGTTTGATCTAGGGGTCAAGAAACCAGGAGACAGTGAATTCTAGGCCCTCCTTAAGGCACGAAAACTGGCCGGGTGACTTTGGACCGATTGCCAGGAGATGGGGAGTTCTAATCCTGCCATCGGGCATGAAAGGAATCTAGACAATCACCAGGAGATGGGGAGTTCTAGTAGTCCCACTTTCTGTTTTGAGGGAGTTATTTGTTAAGCGAGTTTTGCCCCGTTTCTTGCCCTCGCTGTTAAGTGAATCACTGCAGTTGATAAGTCAGTTAACCCGGTTGTTAAGTGAATCTGGCTTGCCCGTTGACTTTGCTTGCCAGAAGATCCTGCAAAAGTTGTAAGTGTGAAAGAGCGTCTCACAAATCACATTTTTTCAGTGCTGTTGTAATTTTGGTCACTAAATGAACTGTTATAAGACGAGGACTACCTGTATGAGGGTCGATGGTTTTCATCCCCCAATTGTCTGTGATTTTTGAATCCTTTTCAGGGATGGCGATTGAAGACACCATCACAGCAAAAATGGTGTTTGAAGGTTGGTCGGCCAGCGGATGAGTTCTGCAACCGTCTGATGCTCTCGAGCCACAGAATAATAAAAGGAAGATTGTTTCTGAGCATAAATAGCTAATATTGCACAATAAACTGTCTTACTAGGTTACAATAGCAAGATAAATAGTAACGTAACAGAAGAATCAAATGATTTTTCTCAGTGTTTCTCAAGCTCAGTGACTTTCAGATATGTGGACTTCAACTCCCAGAATTCCCCAGGCAGAAAACTTTAAGATATGTGGACTTCAACTCCCAGAATTCCCCAGGCAGAAAACTTTAAGATATGTGGACTTCAACTCCCAGAATTTCCCAGGCAGAAAACTTTAAGATATGTGGATTTCAACTCTCAGAATTCCCCAGGCAGCAAACTTTAAGATATGTGGACTTCAACTCCCAGAATTTCCCAGGCAGAAAACTTTAAGATACGTGGACTTCAACTCCCAGAATTCCCCAGGCAGAAAACTTTAAGATATGTGGACTTCAACTCCCAGAATTTCCCAGGCAGAAAACTT